CAGCGAAAATACCGTTTGAGGTCGACGAATGACCAAAAACCCCACCGTCGGATATCCGATGCGTGGCTACTACTACTACTACTACTACTACTACTACTACTACTACTAGTACTAGTACTAGTACTACTAGTACTACTAGTACTACTAGTACTACTACTACTACTGCTGCTACTACTGCTACTACTGCTACTACTACTACTACTACTACTGTCATTGTTACTTGTGATCATTACAAGGGGTAGAGCTTCGGGTTCTTGAGGCCATGCCCTACGGGAATCAGATTCTCACACTCAGCTTGTATTGTACCACAGCAGCAACTACTACCCAAATCTGAAGCCACTCTATGTTTACGGTTCGGGGTCCGGGGTCAGGGGCGTCTTTGCGAAGGGTTCAAAATCAGGAGATACGCCTGTCCGGCCTGGGGCATATCATCCAATCCAAGCCATGTCGTCGTCAGTAAACCTTCTTGCAACTCGACTGCAGGCCGAAGCTGTCTTTGAAGCTTTCCAGCCGCCTGAGGAAGCCTTCACTGGGAGAAGAGGTGACACCAGGCAGCATGGACCAAAACCATGGCTGCCCCTGGGCCATGGTCAAAGCGATCCCAGTGACTTCCACATGCTTAGAAAGGATCTCTTGACCAGGCTTCGAGCTGGTCCCCTGCGTGCCGTAGAGCGGAACAAAGGCCTTAGAGGGAGACTGCAGGCATGTGGCCCAACGCTCCTGGCGATCAAGATGCAAATGCCACTGATGCATTATGCAGCCCTGCGCGTTGCGCTTCAGCGCCCGGATCTCATCCCACTGCGCATCGAAGTTGCGATCAGGGTGGATGGCATAGCGCAGCATGCAGGGCTGCCCGTTGAAAAGGTGGCTGAGGTCAATGAACATGGCGAAAGTTCTCTGAAAGAGCAAAGCGATCTGTCCTTGTTGCTCAGGGAACCGCATCATGACGCAGCCCGTGTCTCCAATATGATTTACATTGTCATAGTGATAGGAACGGAAAAACAATTGTTTACAGATAGAAGCAGGGTTTTACAATTATCTGAGAACGTGCATGTGAAGCACATCACTCCTTTCGCGGTTAAGCGACAAGAAACGTCGGTGTGTCAAGAAAAACATTTCCAGAAACAGCCGGGCTGTCTATAAACCTCCCGCATCGGGACCTCTGCTGCTGGACTTTCGAAGATCTGGGCATGAAGCGCATCCGATAGTCCAACATCTGCCATGATGTTGGACATGGGCTCCACCTGGGGAGCATTGAGATATCTATATATATATATAATCTCTTCCCCCTAATAATAAACGACGTCCCCCCCCCCCTCCCTAATAATAAATAATCCGGGGTGTCAGAAATTATTTATTATTAGGGGGGAATATTTATTGAAAGGATTTCGNNGTAGGGCCGCCTTTAAATTCCTGTTAAAATCAATTAAAATCAAATAAAAATGAATAATTAGTTAATTAATTAGACGAATATTTGATTAATTGATTAATTACATGAAATAATTAAAATCAATTGAA